GTTCCTCTCCAGTACAAAAGAAGTTTAGTAAAGACCCTCAATCACAGAGTTAGAGCTATATGCCCAGAAGAGGTAATTCAAGATAAGCTAAGAATTTTATATGTTACCTTGATTGAAAATAGCTATTTTGACAAATTCATCAAGAAATACATGACCAAGAAAGTTGGAAAGAAATACTCACTGTACGTAAACAAGAAGCCTTTATACATACGACTGCAATTCAAGGGCGATACATATAGCGAAATAATTACGAAGAAGTTAAGAATATCAGTTCAAGGAACTTTTAATGCTGGCAAACTACAAGTCTTATTCTCTAAACGACCGATGTTGGTTTCTCGATTGAAAGATGAAGTACCTAGACTAGCCAGCCACTTCCAATTGTATCTACCAATTCAACTGAGCTTGTGGAGCGAGTTATATCGACCGTTGCTCTAGGAACTTGATTTTTCGTGCTCACTCGGGAACATCTCCCAGTATAACTTAAAAAAGTTGTAGCAAAAACCATCAACAGTTCGATATTAGACCACCTGGTCCATACTGGCCACAAAGCCAGTGTTGAACAATCCTCCTCTATCATCTACCGGGTGCCAAATAAGTTGCCGAAAACATCGAAGTACCGCATGCTTGAAACAGCAGAGGCTATTGCGATTCGCGTGAAACAACCAGTGCTTTGTGTACAAAAGAAGCAAGTCCAACCAGTGACTATTACTGCCCTGATTGGCCTTCAGTAGGGACTATAAAATCATGAATTTGTATCATTATCTTTCCTAATTTATCTGACATTCAGTTTATTGTTACGTTAATGCTATTGAACTGTAATCTAACGATTTTATTGATTCTATGTTATTTAAACAACGCTAATGTTGTTCATAAGACTAATTCATTCATTCACTATAATGTATATATAACTGTAGAGCCTGATGATGAGGTTATTGAAAGGAGTATTCTTTGTTGAAGTAACCATTCTTTTGAAAACATTTTAATGGGCATTTTTATTCAGTTAAAACATAGAATTGTTCACATAACTGATAATAATCTGGATAACCGTATTGAATTACATTTTGTATTTGTGTAATACATTTTGAAAAATTCATAACACAAATAGGTTAAGGAAAACAAGGGATTGTGAACAGATTCTTCTGTGATTAAACATCCCACTAGACGACTTTCATTCACAATACACGCCCAACATTTATGAAAGACATTAATTTCACGTATCAACAGCTGGCAGTTAACTTTTCAGTATACACACTTCGGCAAGTGAACTGAGTTATTACAGAAACCTCGTCTTGATCATTATTGACGGATGCATAGAACACAGGTGCAGAAGATCTCTGAAATAAGAATTGAACCTGTACAATGTGCCAGAGTATAAATCCATTGTGGGCAAAATTTGCTTTCATAAACTGTCACAGTATCAAGCAGTAATATTTACTGATGACCACGTTTCGGGCACAATTTACTGCTGCTCATAATTATATATCAAGTTACATACACAACTTTCTGACTTCGTTGATATAATTCCATTATTTTCCATCACTTGACTTGTTTGGTAATAGTGTAACAACAGAAGACAAGAGTCAGGCAACAGATCCTTTATTAAGAAAATCAAAGCATATTTATATATTTTCATGTACATTATTATAGATTAGTTAAGTAAACAAACACAGTCTTCTGATTGGTTGTTTCTCACTCAAAGTTAATCTTTCATCTATATGTGACTGTTTCTTGAATGTCAAATCCTCTATATGTTAACTGCATCCGCCTACGCAAAGTCTGCTGTGGTCGGTTTTGAATCAATCTTTGTTCATATTTTCTCACGACAAATCTTGAGAACGTAAACATTGACGTAAATTACTGTCCACCAATTTGGCTAGTAGACAGCTTTCACCGCAATAGTACTTTCCATATTCCCGGTATGAGTGATGAGTCACTTCTATTGCATGTGTTCGGTGTAGACTTAATGAACCAGGATTCAGTAATCAACCACCTCTCTCTCCATCTGCCTACATTACTTCTGAGAATTTTAACCCTCTCCCACGCTGTTGTGTGGTTGTGTATAAATGCATGTAGCGCAATTGCTTGGGTTGTTTCTACATTACTTACGTGTCTTCCTGTGGTCAGTCATTCTAACCTTAGCTAAATTCCTATGTTCTGGCAATCTCATCACCCCTGATCTTCTAGTCTGACCTATGTAGTTGATCTAACTCACAGTCATTGCAAGGTATTTTACAAATAATATATTATTTTGTTTAATTGGGTCCACCGGGTCTTTTAGCCTACAGGGTGAGTTTTTCAGTTTGAATGTCACTCTAATTCCTGCTTTATTGAGAATCCTACGTGGGGTCTCAGATGTCCCCTCCTTATTTGGTAAAACTGTAGACGCCTTATATTCTCCCCTATTTATGTTATCATTATTAGTTTCATCATTATTTTTATTTTGCCTTGGACCTTTTTTGATCTTCCTAATTAATTTTATAGGATAGTTAGTTATTCAACACCAACGAACCATCCTTCCATCTGTTTCATTGCATCGTTTAGGTTTTTTGTGCTCCTTAGTGCTACTGCTCGGTTTGTTAGGCACTTAACTGAGCATTCATTCACAGAAAAAGAAGGATGAGATGAATTAAAGTTGAATTTTCTATTAGCAGAATGCGTTGGCTTTTTATAAACGCTAATGTGCAGTCTACCTTCTTCCATTCGTTTTATTTTACAATCTTACATCATAGCTAATTCTCCTTGGTCATTTTCCGATTCACATTTAAATTGTATTCCCTTCACTAGTGAGTTTATATGCGTCAAGAACCTGCAGATATGTTCTGTTTTTAACACTGTGAGTGAAAGTGTCATCTACGTATCTTCACCATATTTTTGGAGTAGGATTAAATGTATTAAGAGCAATATTTTCTCAGCTGTCCATAAATATATCTGCGACGATTGGGGATATTAGCGATCCATCTCACTGCTCTACACCATCTGTTTGTTTATATATTTTGCCCTGGAATTTAAAAACAGTAAGTAGATGTGCGGCATAACTGAATTCCTAAAATAATTTTCTTAATGGGCAGTTTCGTCCTATGAGTAACTTCGGAATTACTGAATCCTTGATCATACAATCTACACTCAACACACGTGCAATAAGAAATCACTCATCACTCACTCACCAGAGATACAGAAAATATTACTAGTAATCAGATCAAGCGATGGAAAATAATAGACTTATATAAACGAAGTCAGAAAGTTGTGTGAGTAACCTGACATGATTATGAGCAGCAGTAAATTGAGCTCGTAACGTGGTCATCAGTAAATAATACTGTATAACACTGTGAGACTTCATCAAAATAAATTTCCTCTATGATGGAATTATATTTTACCACAGCATTAAAAATAAGAACCGGATTTTCAACTCCAATGTGAAGTCAGTCAGTGCTACTATACGGATCAGAGACTTGCACTGCGCGTCATGAAGAACATCTCAAACAAACTACAGACCTTCATTAACAGTTGTCTTCACTCAATACTCAGGATCAGATGGCCGGCCAGAAAAGATCAGCAATAGGGACCTGTGTGAGAAAACCAACCAGGAACCGATTGTGCAGCAAGTAAGCAGGAAGAAATGGAGATGGATTGGCTGGCCATACTCTGAGGAAGCCATCAAGTGACATCACTAGACAAGCCATTGCTCGAGTGGAACCCGAAAGGTTAGCGGCGAGTTGGTCGTCAGTGTGGGGCTGACTTGGAGGAGGTCATGTGAAGAGGAGATGAAAGCGTGTGGGCAGACTTGGAGCCAGGTGAAGACTCTAGCAGAGAACCGAACGCAATGGAGACGCACGGCTGAAGCCCTATGTTCCTCTAGGAATTAAAGGAAACAATAATATATAATTATACAGTGCTCAGGTTGTATTCTTATATCGTTGCCACCCTCTTTAAGTTTCCATCACAGTAAGTATAAATTCATTCTGTTGTTCCACTTTTGTACTCTGTCAGTAGTCAGTTCTTGTCAATATGCAAAGTTAGGGCTTTACTGTCCCTCCATCTTGTCTGATTATATTGTAAATAGTTAACTTTTTTTAATACACTGACTAATTTATCTACTTACATCACTTGGGGATTATGTTGCTCAACCTTTCTCTCGATAACACGACGTCATTGTGAGAAGATTATTTGTGGTTGGAAAGAATCCATGAGAAGATGAAACTAGGCTCGTATTATTCTGCAATCATGTTCGTTCTTTCTTTGCTCAAAAAGTAACTGTTTTTCCTTGGAGATCCAATTCAACGGAGCCGTGATGGCCAGTGAAGTTCTATTCCAAAGACTGTCTAGAGCTTAAAGATGAACTTAAACTGCTGCCATCCTTTGTTTGCCATTTTCTAGCTGACCAATTATCATAGCTCAAGTGAAGGATGAGTCGCCTAGTTATGCCATTTCTATACATGTTTATTTACAAATTTAGCTCTTCCTGTGGAGAAAGTAATATAGGGTGAACAACTAGATAGATTAATAAATGCCTTATTGAGCACCTGCATGTTTGATATGGTGGCCTGAATTATGGTCGGTGCAGAGTTTGTCGTCACCCTGAATGCTGCATATTTGATTGTCTAGCTTGTCCAAGGACTGAGTGATTCATTCAGGAGTGCCCTTGCTATCTACCTTTGGGCATTCTATGCTGTGAGACATAGAAGAGGCCAAAGGAATTACGGTTTCTGATATCAACGGAATCAGCAGAGTGAAAATATTTAAAAATATCCACAAAAAGTATTCCGTTGAAGTTACCATTCCCGGTAGCAACGGAGCTGGGAGGGTCCTTGACTTGGATGGCTATCTTGGACCAATCTTGAAAAGCTGCAAAGTTATCGTGAAGATGAGGTTGACCTGTGCATCAAAGTCAGGTAGGATGTGTTGCTGGGAGACGTGGATACAAAATAAAAGAACCGCTTGAGCAGTTAGTTCCTAACACCCACAAAGTATACCAGATACTGTGTTCATTTTCAACCGACAAGATGATACAATTTGTTGGTGACCTCAGAAAAGCTACTGAATGTTTACGATCAATGGATGAACTCCTTGAAGGCTCTCCGCCTAAAGTCTCCGGACAAAATTATGATGCAGGGAATGTAGATGAGTCAATGTGTCTTGAGTACAGAAGTTGGGGTTTCGATCATCGTGCTTCGGGTCTGAATCTTGTTCGTGGTGGAAATATTGTTACCAATACAAACTTTGCACAAAATAATATACTTGCGACTGGGATTTCTGATTGTGGTCCTTCTGGAGCTGAGGTTACAGGACGTGGAGGTACCTAGTCGGAATCTGTGAATTAAGCACTATCTGGGCGTCTTCTTCATGCGTCAGCAGCAGCCATGTTACCTGCTGGATTTATGGACGGATTGCTTAACCGTACAGCAATGAGTATTTTGAATCTGACTACAATCACTCAGGTTGCTGTTGGCAACAAGATGATTGGCGCTTTAATAAGACGTTCTGGTTATCGGATAAAACAGGATCGTCATGAATTAAACGCTAAAATACTAAAGAATAGTCGTCTTTTCCCTAATTTTCGAACGTCTCATGATATCGCGAATCTTAACAAAGTTTTACTGGCTATACAGTTGAACCCAGAGATCAATTTCTTGCGTTCCGACCATAATCCAGTACATTTGGTTATTGATCGAAAAAATGTCAAACAGGATTGTGGAGTACTCAACAATATGATTGTACACTTTTTGTTAGTTGTTGAAATTTAAGACATTGTACATGATTTTTGTTTAAAACGACTCATCTTTAAAATATATGTTATTTCCGAACACAATTCGAAACGCAATATATACTGTTGGTGGTTTCGCCTTCTCACTGGCCATTCCTGTCTACTTGCTCCACTCATACGATGTTGTATAATTTGGATTTATTACAGGAATCTATTATCCTTATCCGAAGACAACTCCACAACCGGAACACAGCTTCTACCAGTAGACCCGATTCCAGCAGTGAAGACTTCTGTGGATTATATTAATAATTTGTAGCAGTGAACTTTAACAGTATATCCAAGTAACCTTTTTATTAACATTATTCATTAGTGCATTTTTGACAATATATTGTTACACTATCATCTCATTGACTTGCATTTTTATTCGCATATTTATCATATTATTGAGTTCTGTAGACAGTCCCCAACGAATTAATTGGTGAGCCCGACGTGATCAGTTATTTTCTTGGATAAGGATAATAGATTCGTGCAATAAATCCAAAGTATACAACATGGTATGAGTTGAGCAAATAGACAGGAATGGCCAGTGAGAAGGCGAAACAACCAACAGTATATATTGTGTTTCGAATTGTGTTCGGAAATGACACATATTTTAAACATGAGTCGTTTTAAACAAAAATCATGTACAATGTCTTTAATTTCAACAACTAACAAAAAGTGTACAATCATACTGTTGAGTACTCCACAGGATCTCTAAGAAGCTGTATTTTGTTTCATTTTATTGGTGGAGGACACCAAATGGTCATAAAAAGCTCTCACTCTCCATAAAAGCTGATTGTCTTTCAAATTGTCTCAAATCGTTCGCATAGAATTCGACCTTGTCGTTTACGCATACCCGAAACTGCGAGAATTCGGAAAAAAAATAATCCTAGTCTTCGTGTTCAAAATAAGTTTTTTTTTCATTTTCTGCCTCTGTTTTTCCTCTGGCTAAGATAAATCTAATGAACTAAATCTAAGAACTTCTCATGCTTTTCGTCGCCTATACCACTTTTATCAACTTTGTCATATATTTATTTAAACTCTGATTATCGATTCTTTTCACCTTAAGTTTTGATTTTATTAGATTTTGGCCTAATTTAATTAGTGAAGTGTTAATATTATTATCATCATCATCATGCTAACCTCATTATACTTTTTGCCACCTGAGTCAATAACTTGTACTTTTATGTTATGTAGTTGAGCATAATAAAGAAAAGGGCTGGACAAATTTCTTTTAAATACACATAGATTTGTTTTGTTCAGATGAATTCCAATTTCCTCTGATGTATGTAAAGGTAGTGCTGGTATACATTACGATAGGTTAGGCAGAATATTATAAATAACAATAAAAGCCTTGTTAGAGCCAAGTTGATGTCCAGTATCGACGAGATGAGCGGCTAGTACTGAGCTGCGTATAGCAGCTTTATTCGGACCTTTGCCAAACCAATCAATGCTCCTCATGAGCGGTTAGAAGGGTAAACACAAATGGAAGATTAAAACAATTAGTCCGTTTGATAAATTATGAATAAGGCATTAAGAAGACAAATTTCGTGAGATGATATCATCATTTCGTAGTTTCTTTACAACCGCTTTACAACTAACATGGTTAACAATAATAAAATAAAGTTCATGACAATTAATCAGTTAAATAAAAAACACAAAAGTACATACTAATGACCATTCATATTAAGATAGGTCAAGTAGTCCAGGGTAGGCGAAGATTGAAGTCTATTGATTTTTGTACACACAGTTTAGGCTGTATGTGATTAATCCCCCAAAGTGCTTCCATCACCTTCAATAACCAACCTTGAATTAGAGTTATGTGAAATAATTGTGAAACAGTCATTAATATTGATTTTGTGATCTGACATTAATAAGTGTTTTGCAATGGATGATGCTGGATTTCTATTCAAATTAATCGCGTTGGGATTTTCTATATGATTTAGTAACCATTTTGGAACCTGTTCCTTTCGACGACATTGGAACATTCTGTTGGTTCTACTTATATAGGTGCCACTGCAGCTGCAGGTGAACTTGTAGATACAGTTTGAAGTAGAGTCCACAGAATTTCGTCCTTTAATCGTAGGTACAGGGATCGGAAATGTTCGGCAAGTGAGAAAAAGAGATGCGGCGTAGAATGGGCGTTTGATAGCTGACCGAAGTCTTTAAGCTGTCAAATGCATAATCTGGTCACCCTTGAATGGTAGGTTAATAAAGATAGCTTTCTTTGATACCGAAGCTGTCTTTTCGAGATGTGGTCTTTCTTTACTGTGACAAGTGATAAAGTTTTCCGGATAACCATTATCTAATAAAACTGAATGTATATGTCGAAACTCATCCATCACTGTGTCACTCGTGCATATTTTTCGGGCCCTTGAGAACAAACATTTCACTAGGGAACGTTTAAACTGGATAGGAACAAAACTGGTAAAATGAAGATATTGTCCACTCCATGTCTGTTTACGAAAAATAGATCGCTGAATCGTACCATCATCTCTCCTAGTCATAGTGTGGTGAGAGCTGTCTATTAGCCAATTGGTTGACAGTAATTGAGGTCAAAGGTCAAGATGGACAGGCGGATACAGTTAACATATAGATGAACTGACACAGCCACAAGAGATGCAAGGTTAACTTTGGATGAGAAACAACCAATCAACAGACTGTATTTTCTACTAACATTGACCTACAATAATGTACATAAAAATCTATAAATACGTGTTGATTTTCCGTAATAAGCGTTCTCTTGCTTGGCCCTTGTCTTCTGTTGTTACAATGGTAATATCCAGGAAACCGAGTTTGTAATTCAATTCTAGTTCGGAAGTCACTCGAATATTTGGATGAATATGATTAAATAGGGTAATAAAGTTTTCAATAGATTTATTGTTATTACCAATAATAAGAGTATCATCTGCATAACGTTTATACAGCATAAATTCTCCAAGCATACAAATGGAAGAGGTGAAGCAGGGTAGTTTGTCTTTATTTCTTGAACTAAGTATTGGTTGGTTAGTAAATATATAAAGCATAACTTAGCTAGTTACATTAGGCGTACTATCAGGTAAGTTCATTGTCGAATTTCTGAACACCTCTCATCTTGGTTTCGCAAAGGTTCGAATAAAGCTGCTAGACACAGCGCATCTCGTCGATACTGGACATCAACTTGGCTTTAACAACACTTTTAAAGTAATTTACAATGCAGTATAATTATATATATATATATAGTTAGACAGATGAAAGAGGTAATTGGTAAGTCAAAATGGTTTGAAATTATGCCAAAATCATGTAATATACCTAGGATATATGGTATGGCAAGATAAAATTGCATAAAGATGGATACCCAGTAAGACCGATTGTAGACTTTAGAAACACACCAACGTATTTGCTATCAAGATTTCTCTCGACAATACTAAGACCGACAAGAGACAACTCAAAAGCTAGAATAGTAGATTCATTTGAATTAGTGACGTGACTAAAAACCACTAAAATAGAGGAAGAGGAAATACTAGTCAGCTTTGATGTAAACAGTCTCTATACGAAAATATCCATTCAAATGGCCATGAGTGCACTGAAAGAGAAACTATAAGAAGATAGTAGCCTAAAAGACAGAATACAGTTATCCGTAGAAGAGATAATAAAAGGGGTGGAATTCTGTCTGACAACAACATATTTCACATTCGAAGGGAAAACATACCAACAAAATGAAGGAGTAGCCATGGGATCGCCTATCTCACCAATAATAGCGAGCATATTCATGGATTATTGGGAAGAGAATGCCCTTAAACCATTCAGATCACCATTAAAATGTTGGTGGAGATATGTAGACGACACACTAGTAATAGTGAAGAAAAACGATATTGAGAAACTCTTCTCACACATAAACAGCCATGTCGACTCAATAAAATTCACTATGGAAATAGAGAATTAAACTGGAGAACTGCCTACGCTAGACTGCAAAATACAAAGAATAACAGGTGGCAGCATAAAAACAACGCTATATAGAAAAACCACACACTCTAGAAGATTCCTTGATTATCACTCAGCTCATCCACTCACGGTAAAACGAGGATTATTACAAGGTCTTACAGATAGAATACGTAGACTTACAACGACACCAGAGGACCAGCATAAAGAAATAAGCGTCCTACTCAACATGCTACTCGAAAACAACTACCTAAAAGAATTTACAAAAGATAATACAAAAAAGAGAAAAAAGAGGGTAAAACCGGAGAATAACAAGATAGAAGAATGCAAAAAAACAGTCATAATACCATATAAAAATGGTACATCAGAGGCAATTCAAAGAAACCTCAAAAATATCGACATTCGCACAACGTTTAAACCGACGAATCTTATCAAAAATAAAATAAATCAACTGAAAGATCCCATAAAAATGATAGATAAAAACAATTTGATTTACAAAATATCTTGTGCTGACTGTCCGACTAAATATGTGGGGTAAACGTCCATATAACTCAAAATAAGAGTGAATGAACATAAACGCCTAACCAAAGTTCAACCAACAGGAACACAAGCTTACAAGAATCTTGAAAAAAATTCATC